ACAAAGAATAGAGAATAATGAACAAAATAAATAAAGACGAGTGAAAAATGGTGTAATTTTTTTAGAACAAAGATATTAAGGGCCCTACTATATATGACAAAACATTGAAAACGTAAATCCTAAACATTTAGCTAATTTAGTTGAACGGTGATACTGAAATAGTGGATAGCATATACAGGGGAGATATTTTAACATTCTTACATAAAAATTGTCTGAACGATGGTATTTAAATTGAACTTGGACCTATATAGACTCAACTCCTGCTCAAATCATGAAAGGGTCTACTCAAGCCTTTTTAGCATTATTATTTCAAAGGATAATAATTTAATTTATTGTATAAATTGGTTTGTTCAAAATGAAAGTGAGTTTAGATTTATAATTCACCCTTGAACTAAACTAATTTGTTTTTAATCAACATACTCTCAAGGAGTATTAATTAAATCCTTACATTTGAATGCAATAAACCAAACTACCAAATAACTTGGTGTTTTGTAAGATCAATATATAATTGAGATAGCTGTAGAGTTATATGAAAATCAAAGTCCATATGAAAAAGTTATTTACTAGTAGTCTGAACTGAAAATTCTAGCTTTTTTGACCTACTAATTAAATCATAAAATTTGACTGAAATAAACCAAACTACGACATAACCTGACATCTTGTCAGATCAATATAAAATTGAGATAGCTGTTGAGTTTTTATCAAAATCCAAGTTGATTTGAAAACGTTATACAAATTTTTAAAGGTGACTATCTGAGTTTGGTCTTAACAGAAAATTCTAGCTTTTTTTACCTATTAATTAAATCCTTAGACAGCAATGAAGCCAACTACCAAAATAACCTGGAGCTTTGTAAGATCAATATATAATTGAGATAGATGGCCTGATTCAGAACAGTCGAGACTAAATTTAAAGGTCAAGACTGGTCGAGACAGGTCAAGACCGATCGAGACTGGGCAAGACTGAGTTGAGACTGGTCGAGACTGATCGAACATTTGTCGAAACCATATTCAGACTATACCAAAATTATCAGGTACTCAATCAGACTTATTGTGTAAAGTCAAGTACAGTGGAGTACAGCTAAGTACTGTTGAGATTATGTCGAGTCTTGTCAAGTAGAATCTGTGGTCGACCTTGCTGGTCGAGCTAAAAATATGGTCCTTTCACACTCTGAGCAGTTTGTGGTGATACGAAACGCAAAAGACGATTTGATCATACAGACACTGCCCATAGTGGACATCTGTTGCAAGGTGTGTTTGTCATCAGCTTCCCACTAGTGCCCGTATGTTAAAATGGAGAGATAAAAGTTCGGCACGGAACATATTTCATACATACATACAAAAAGGATATTTCGATATGTTTGTAAGTGAGAGATTTACCCACAAACGACCATAATACGCGAAAAAGTAATACCAACAACTCACTGCGGGTCTTCTCTATGCCAAAGACCATAGACCAAAAAAAGGTGAGCTATTAGAGTCTAAAAGTGTCCCACGATACGCAAGAAGTGTGAAAATTCAAAATAAATAAATAACAACATAATTTATGTCAAAACATTAATATTAAACAAATACATGTATCAATGGAAAACTGCTCAGCAAACTATAAAATTGAGTAATGCACAATTCAGCAGACACATTCATCATCATCTAAATATGATAAAAACAAAAAGTTTTAAAATGTCTTCTATAAATTATAATCGTAGACATTACTTCATAAAACAAATTGGTCTTGAACGCTCATCCAACATTTTTATAGTTTTTTTATGATTCAAGAACATATATTAACAACAATGCAACATTTTATCAACCACATCATATGTATAGTATATTTTCTTGACGCATTGATTAAATATACATCTATAACGCTATTGGTCGTTGTTTTCCATTGCCATTGTAAAACAGTTACTTGAATGAATAAATACATTACACACATATATAGTGTTTATATCATATGCTTTCATTTAGATGTCAAAAAAGCCTTTTCAATCCCTCCAAAATATAAACTAAAAGATGGTAATATTACTTTATGTTTTTGATAAAAGACTAAGCTTACCTGCACATATTTTAATTACTGCCTGTTTTGACTACTATACACAATGGGCGCATTAGTTGCCTCTAAACTAGTGACAGTTTCTTAAAGGTATGATAAACCTTCTTTTGGAATAGCCAAACTGGCTTCGCATTCGTTTCTTGTGAACTGGAACCAGTTTTATAAGCTTATCAAACCTCATCGTGTGATTTAAACAGTTTAACAAACCATTATCAGAACTTTAGATTTGTTTCAAAACTGTTAAACCGAAAACTAGTTTAAAACCATACAATAAATCATTTTAATCACACACTACTCCTTGAATGCTAACAAATTTTAATTGTTATTAGACAAAAGAATGTAGACATTCAAGGGACAAACCAAACTGTCTATACTTTTGCGATGATAAAATGAAATTTCTGATCTGCGATTAAAAAAGAAATGCTTTTCATGAACCTAGCAAAAAAAGATTTGCAAATTAAAAAAAAAAACATTTAAAAAAAATTGTTAGATAAATGTCTTTTTGTTGCTTTACTTTAATGTGTTTTTTAAGGAATCAATATGCATACATATAACTGCAAAGAAATACAAGTTACAAAACATATAACTTTGGTGCAAAGAGTGAACAAACAAAACCGCAATTCTTTGCAAGGCCGTATAAAATTTCTTTGATGTCGTTGAGGTTATTTTGTTGTTACTTTCTTAATGGCATAAAAGCAAAAATCTCCAATGTAATCATATGTTACTAAAATCTGATTGCAAGAATGAACTACTTTTTTTAGAAGGAATGATAAATTTTGAAACTATCCTCGCGTAATGCCTCCTTATGCCACTCATGCATTATTTTTTTTAAGAATCTACAGTTACGAATCATTCTTCAAACATACTTGCTGTACGTGTACCTGTCTCAGGTTTTTTTTTTGTAGTATCAATTGAAGATAAATTTCATGTACATTCGTTGTAATTTGATTATTTACCAGTTTCTATTCTACGTTATTATTATAAGTATATATGAGTTGTCACTATTGCAATTACACAGATGAATCATTCTAGTACCTTGACCAAAAACTAGATTTTAAATCATTATTTCATTCTTTTAGGTGCATGCATATGTTACTAGAAAAAGTGATCAAAGATACCAGAATTAAAATTATATACGTCAGACCGGGTTTCATACTACAAATGTGCGGACGATCAATGCTTTTACAACCCTATAAAATTACACAAAGAAGCATTTTATTCTTCAATAATTATACAGATTGAAAGCGTGTTTTGCAGAAAAAGGAAATACAATAGATTCTCGTATCAACCTGAATATCAAACATCAAAACAGAGAGAATTCTTTAATTAACTTCGTAGAAACTACCTATAACACTTGGACATATACAATAAATTTATTTAGCTCAAATTACATCAGCACAAGGGTCAAATGCAACAATAAAACATGACAATACATACAAGAAATAACCGACATCAACATAAAAAACACACACACACAATAAATGTCATCATGTGCCCCTCTGTTTTCAATTTCTTAAACAGTTAAATAAGGTAGCCACATTTTGTTATAGTGTCTAAACTTGTGATGTGAAAATGTATGTGAATTATATATAAATATGATATGATTGGTGCATGTGCTTTGATATCAATGTTGCTTTCTATTGTGCTTTATATATCTATGATCAAATTGACATTGTTTGTATCCATTGCAATTGTCTAACAGTCAGTTGAATACATATATTTTCTTATAGTTGTGGCCTGTTGTCTATTTCTCGCATGAAGAGATATTCCTTGTGTCATACAAAAAAGTGATATGAAAAATACTTTAATTTGATCGGCTTATCCATCATCATAAAAAGCGATAAATTGCGGCATTTATATTGGCTATTTGTTATGTCATTACTGACTTGCAATTATTAAGACGATGAACATTTCCTCAATGGCAACGGAAATATGTGATTTCTCCAATAATATACAAAACACTTACACTTTCCACCTGCGAATCTTTTTGTCAAATTGTATCACATTCTGAAGCGAACAAAAAGTTTTAAAATGTCTGATGACAAAGTTGGACGTCGAAATAGATATATGACGTCAAACTGTAATAAAATTTGAATATAGATATATTTTTCAGTGAGATATGTATCAGTTTCTGATAGGTTTGATAATGTTTTATCAGTGAGGCCAAACTGGTTTCTCTTTCGTTTCTCGAAAGCTTTGAACCAGTTTTATTAACATATCAAATCGTCTCGTGTGGTTTGAAAAAGTTTAACAAAATGTTATCAGAACTTTAGATTTTGAAATTATCCTCGAGTATTGCACTCCTAATGGCGCTCATGCATTATTTTCTTTTAGGAATCTACAATTGCAGATCATTCCGAAAACAGTGAGTCTTTTGTACCTGCCTTATTTTATGTTCTGAGTATCAATTGCAGATAAATGTCATATACATTCGTTGTAATTTGAATATTTACCCATTTCTATCCTACGTTATATCTACGAGTTGTCACGATTGCAACTAAACTTATTCGAGTACCTTGACCAAAAATGAATATGAAATCATTATTTCATCCTTTAATATACATGTATATGTTATAGGTTAGCTCTATGATCAATAAGTATATTTTTAAGTCGATAGTGTTTCTTAAGTTCTATGTTATATACAATTCCATTCATTTGAACGATTACGCATGGGAAAAACATAGTAACGCGAAAGTACAAATGTTTTAAATATATCAAGAGGAGATAACTTTCATTGATTACTTTAAGGATCTTAGTTTCTTATAACATTACAAAATAGACGTTGCAGTCTGTTGTGAAATGTATTTCAACTAAATTACCTCTTTATAGATCTTTATATAACCAATATTAAATTCTTTTAATAAATCAAGTATATTTTGATAGAAATACTATTTCTACATTAGATAAATCATAGATGTATAAATATACATATATGGATAAATATATGAAACTATTTCTGTAAAGATGATTACATTAACTTCATTTGTAAATAAAATATGCTCTACGGTTACCTGCAGTTGTTACTTTTTACGTCATTTGATCTCTGGTGGAGAGTTGTCTCATTGGCAATCATACCACATCAGATTCTTATTTTTATATCTTGTAGGTCCAAATCTATATATTGATAAGGAATTTACATTGCTACCACAATCTTCGGGCCATGACTTAACTTTCTATTTTTACTCTCGCTACACACGTGAAGTAGACAGACTAATATTTTATAAAGGATTATACAAATCAAAACCACATTTTAACCCTTAGTTTCAAAATAATCATTACAATTACTGTTAACACTATAAATGATATAAACAAAATCCAAAACATTGCAAAATCTACAAAAGCGGTAACATCAGACCAGGTCACGTTCTTTTTCTTCTTCAAGTTGGTGTTTTCCGAATCATTGATACGATTGTCTTCGCAACAACCACAGCAACATGCACATCGCATCACATTTTCAATCCAACCTGGCACCTTGCGCTGACTGTGATGGAGGCGGAGCTCGAGTGCCGTAACACAAACTGTTATCACACCAAAACTTAGTAAGACTATCAAATAATATCCGAAATAGGATCCGGACGACTTGGGTAATTCCGAACTTACTATTGTTAGAAAAACGACAAATGATAAGAAAACCGTCATTGCGTAACCCATCTTTTCCCCACTGTCCGCTGGGAGGACATAGGTAAACACATTTAGAAGTCCTAGAAATATTACCGGGATAATTATGTTGAAAATATAATACACAGAGCTCCGTTGTATTGTAAGTGTAAACGTGACCTTTGACTCTGTTCCTTCTTTATCCTCCTTTGCAGAAGTTGAAACTATGCTCCATTCCGCACTTTCTTCCATATCTTCTGTAGAAATTCCATCCGCACCTTTTGTGACATTCACGTCATCTATGAAATATGTCCAAACAACAAAAACAAGGTCGCATGTTTGTTGATCAAAAGGAAAGTGAGTAATGTCAATCGTGCATTTGGATTCGAAAACCTCAAACGGCTGCCACCATACAAGTCCGTTATTCATAATCTGAGCTAGGATAAAATCGGTTCCAAGCGTATCCAGTTTTGTAAAGCCATTTTTAAGTGTCAAATCTGGTTTCCATATTTTATGTTGTGGAACGTTCAGTTGCATGACATTCCCAACGTTCCAGGTCAAATATTCGTCGGTCCATCTAACGGACAGGTAACCAGTTGTCGTTAATTTACCCTCAACTTCATCTAAACCATTAATACCAACAAGGATCATGTCTAGATCAACGTTCATCGGTTTCGAATAATCCTTGTTTGGTCGAACCATTGTACTATAACTTGCAAAAAGGTTAGTAATAAGAGTCTTTGCCTCATCTCCTCCACCAATCTGTCCAAGACATGGAATTGCTGCGTAAGATATTATGAACAGTGAAAATGTAACTATCTTTTCCATGTCTACCGAGCAACGTAGGACATACGAATGCGTATTAAAATTGGGTTTGAGACAATATATAACTATGGATAGTCACATGTTAAAATGAAACATGGGGTAGATAAGGGCACTTTTACTATATTCTGTTTAGGTTTTGCCAGATATTCTGTGTTCTTTATATATTAGCACTCAATTATTCTTTATTCTGTATTTTATGGTATATTTTTCTCTTTTCTTTATACTTTTGGTGCATTATTCTCTATTTTGTAAACCCTGTCAAGACCCTCATAGATCACAGCTTTTTAAAAATTATAAGTGGTATAGTGCAATATCAATTGATTCATTTGTGTGATGTAAAATCTCATGTAAACAGATCGACCCCGCTAGGTTTTAGCTTATTCATTTGAATATTATATTCTAATTCAAGACTTTACATCTACTAGTATGTCAATATTTTATAATAGAAACATGTTGAATTAATATGAAACTAGATTCTGGTTATTAAAATGTTATAGTATATCTAGAGGATTAGATTCCAACTCCCTCAGACAAAGTTGACCTTAGATGGATTTGGCTATTAGATTTAGGTAATTTTTGGTTACTAAGAGTACTAAGCTCTTCAATTGTTTGGGTTCTTATACATCCTTGGCTTTCAAATATTCGGCTTTGAGCGTTAATGCTTCGGACAAATCAAATATTTAAAGTGTTACTAGTATTCATATTTTTGTGGAAATTATCAAACCAATGCATGTATATGGATATATTTATGCTTAAGTAAGTCCTCCGTGGACGTTTAATCCACATTTATTACGAACCAATAACGTATAATCAAAATTCAAATATCTAATTAAGACTATAGTGATTGTTGATAAAAAAAAAAACTGCCTGCTGTTAATTAAACTTCGCGTGTTGGGGCCGATCGATACCTTGATAAACAATCAGCACAGAATCATAAAACACGTGAAATATAAGTATGATGATAAAGCGATGTTTGTTTTTTAATATATTTTTCATGATAAAATTTCCAATTTAATGCATAGCTTGAAAATTTGCAGCGATTGCTTGTAGAAGATCGGAGTTTATCATACATACGTGTTTATACTTAGATTATAGTATGGAGCTTCCATATATTTGTAAACTTTTTAATTAGAGACAAATTTTCACAAAACAGTCGATATTGGTAGGTGAAAATAAACGTGGATTCTTTTTTTGCATAAGCATAAATTCCGCCGAAAACAAATTCCATTGAAAGATAAAAGATTGATAGTTTTTTGGGAAACATTCCTCAAAATGGGCAATAATTTCATCGAAAAGAGAATCGACTAGAGGCATAAAAGTACATTAAATGATGCTCAATAGTTTAGTAGATACATTCGACTTTTAAAAAAACAAATGGCATATGAAGATCGTAATGATGCTATGTGGATAGTTATATCGGTTTTCAGGAGCTTAATTGACAGCCCGTTTTACTGCAATGGCTTCCATTTTTACAATTGTAAATATTAGTGGCGAAATCAGGTAATGGGGAGATAATTTGACGAAGTAGAATCCTGGCTGATATGATATATTTTGTTCTTTCGACTGATGATTTCCTACGGTAGAGAAGATAAAAAAAAGTTGTCTGGACCTGTTAAAAAATGCCATATAATTGTTCCTGGTTTGCGATGAAATCAGAATATCATCCCAGACTTATAGATTATCGATTGTTTTTTTTTTTCAAAAGGGAGGGCAGGGGTGTAGCACTACAACAGTTATCGGTAAGGCGGAATCATCTGCGCAGACATGATTCGCTCCTACCTGTGGAAAGTCCTGGAAAAGTCCGAGAATCTGTGCTTTCGGAGAGCTTTTAATATAATTCAGAATATTAAAAGGATTGGAAAATATTCATTTCTTTGTTTTTTGTTGTATACGATGGTCGTAATTGGGACATTTATGACGAATAACGTAAATGATGTTGCCAAATACTAGTAACGTAATTTTATATCTGTATTTGACGTTGACAGTAATTTGATATTTGTAATTGACGTTCACAATATGTTTTTGGGCATGAAGATAAAGAATATCCCGAACAAGCCCGAAAAAATAACTGCAGAGGAAAACATTACCTCATTGTTCGACCACAATGAAACCAACAAAGATATTTGTTTATCAGCAGGGTCATCGATATGAATAATCTTAGGATGACTTACCACCACCCTCTTGCTACCGAGATTTTTAACTTGTGTTTGTGACTAGAATGAAATCTATGATATGGAATTTTGAAATAAAATATGAGAACATAGATTTTATAATATTCTTTAAGAAAATGAAAATAAAAAATGGTGTTATCGAACTTGTTTTCTTGCTACAAGTAAAACATAAAAATTTTATTTAAATTTTTGTTTACTATAAGAATTATCCCCCTTTATAAGGCTATGTTGGAATATACATGATAAACAAAAACAAATATTTGATATAATGCAATACTTCGCTTCTTTTTCTTAATCTTAATACACAATCTTACACATAAATTAGTTCTGTCTCAAAATTTAGAAATTTACGACTAGACCAATTAGGCTATGAACTGTTATTTTACAATTTAAGATGGCGGTTTAAAGTTAATAAATCCTACATTACGTAAGTCAAGGATTCCGTTACACAAATCATTTCAATACCTTTACCTCATTCTTTCTTAAATACAAACAATTGGTTTGGGAATTTGGCGGTTCGTCTAAAAATCTTATAACGAAAACTCATAAAAGATAGAAGGCTTACAATTTCATCTACATCAGAATTTTCAGTGACGCTCGAAAACAGTTGGTAGGTCAAATCCAATACGAAATTGAAGACTTTGGCACCCGTTTTGATGCTTATATAAGTACAAATTCGGTGATAATTCTAATTCGGTGATGTCACAATCGAGTTGTGGTTACAACAATTGGTACATATCCGTCGTAATCTGTGAAACAGATATTCCGGCCATAACGATCAACCAACAGGTGATGGCGTCCGTCGAAGGGATGACTTCAACTTCACCACATGGAACCCTTGGTTTAATAGCTTTCTCGTAAGCAGCAACCCTCTATCGATGAAATCATGATAAGAAATGCAAGCTCTGGAATATCTTATCAAAAGGGGGATAAGGCGCTGCTGTGATGTTGCTGCATAGAAATGGAAAATTTAAATTAGGAAGCTGAAATCATATCTTTTGTCGAAAAGTCTTTAACTAAACCAGCCAATTTTTAGTCAAGATAAGAGGCAGACTAAACTTTATCAGTCGTATCCTTTATTTTCAGTTCGATAGGATAGATTCAACATACTCACCGAACTTTGATTACTTAATGACATGACATCGTCTAAAAAGCAAATCGCGAAGTTAAGGGATACACCTAGCTTCGATTCTCTTCATTCTTTCTAAGGAGCGCCTTGTCCCATGTGGGAATTTTACCACATTTGCTGATTTTCATAATGATAGGAGCAATAAAAGTAGTTCAATTACAAAAAAAACTCAAAATAGTTACAGAAGAAAAAATACGTTGATTTCCACTTAAATCAATCCTTTTAATTATGTTTAAATTAGGTTATTTGCATTCATCTTGACAAGGTAAAACGGAAAATATCTCGCAGTGTTTTCTCTGAAATCTATAATCATGCTGATCATTGCACATTAATGATATAAATGTTGTTTTTAAACTTTTACTTTTATAACAGATAATATATTTTTGTAATAAACTACATCAAAATTTGATCGTAATTAATGGTGTGTCGTGGGTCTATAAATTATTGTGAGTCGGGTTATTTGAAAAATTTCTATACAAGCAATTAACTTGATGTAGCTCAATATTGTTGTGATTAGATTGTACAATGTTGTATTCGAAATCAGATAACCACTTAAGTTGTAATTAATATATTAGTTTTTATCGTTTAAAATTGGGTTTGACGGGCATCAGTTTACATATCTTTTCAAAAGTTACTCTGAGTGATTTCAAATAACAAACAAAACCGGTTTGGTCTAGACTTCGAAATGTAAAATAAGATAAGTAAAAACTTTTAACAGATAATCATCTTTTGAAAAGAGTTTTCTTTGGTATCTTGTTCAGGGTCATGAACAGACTTTTAAATCGAATATTCACACACAGAAACTATTTTGTAGCTGAAATCCCCGTGACAATGGCGTGCTCGAAAACAGTTTCTGGTATTTCTAGAGGCTAAGATTCCAACTCCCTCAGACAAAATCGACCTTAGATGGATTTGGCTATTAAATTTAGGTCCGTTTTGGTTACTAAGAGTATTAAGCTCTTCGATTGTTTCGGTTCTTATACATCCTTGGCTTTCAAATATTCAGCTTTGAGCGTTACTGCTTCAGACAAATGAAATTTTTAAAGTGTTAATATTTTTGTAGAAACCAATGCATGTATATGGATGTATTTATGCTGAAATAAGTCCCCCGTGCACGTTCTATCCACATTTTTTACGAACCAATAACGTATAATCAAAATTCAAATATTAAATTAAGACTTGTGATTGTTGATAAAAAACTTTAAAGAAACTGCCTGCTGTTAATTAAACTTCGCGTGTTGTTGCCAATAGTTACCTTGTTAAACAATCAGCACAGAATCATAAAACACGTGAAATATAAGTTAGATGATAAAGCCATGTTTATTTGTTCTTTAATATATTTTTCATGTGATCCTGTATTGGAGTGACATTACCCATACAATTTCCAATTTAAAAGCAAAGCTAGAAAATTTGCAGCGATTGCTTGTAGATTTTCGTACTAGAGAAGATCCGGGAGTTTATCATATACATACGTTATAATTCTTTTCACAAAAGTCGTGTACATAAATCGCATGCCAAAATTAATTGAAATATCTTCTTTTCTAAAACCTAGATGAAAAATTCAATTCAACTTTATCCCAATGCATATGTAAAATCGCAATTTTTTTTTCAAATTATAATGCATTGTATCAGGCGGATGCCCAATTAAAATTAAACTACAGAAACGGAACTCTTTATTAGAGAATGCAAAAAAGGCCAAGTTATAAA